GAGGAAGGTTCCTTCCAAGATCCGCAAGGGATAGTCTCTTGATGGATTGTCTTCTAGTGGGACCAAAGCTGCTTCTGCTAATTCCTCTTCCAATCCGAAGGTTGCTGAATGCTTCCATTGTTATGTAAAGGGCACTGGAAACAAAGCTTCCCAAAGTACTTGAAGGACATAAAGGATGGGAAGATCAAACCCTCCTTTGTAGGTATTTACACTATTCAATCTAATAACTCATCACATGCTAATTCTTGGGTCCTTGATACAGGTTGGGGATTTCACATTTGTTCTGATTTGCAGGGACTAAAAAGAATTAAGGATGTGGAGCAGGAGAAGATAAACTTAATCATGGGAAATTGGAAAATGTCACCTGTAAATTGGAGTTTACTCTTTATTGCTTAGTAAGGTTTAAAATTAGATTTGAATAATTGTTGTTACTCGATCGATATGGCGAGAAATGTTATTTCCTTTCACAGTTTGTATAAACAAGGTATTACCTTTTCTTTTAATAATGAAATTGGTGGTATTAATGCTTATTATAATGGTGTATTTTATTTTAAAGCATTACCTTGCAATGGTGTATATGAAACTATGAATGTTGTAGATAACCTAAGAAATAATGTGTTGAGCATTGATTCGTCCAATGTTTTGGACAAGGCATGCTTGTGGCATTATCGTCTTGGACATGTCAACAAGAAGCGCATAGCCCAATTCCAAAAGGATGGAATCTTGGAGTCATTCGATTAAAGTCGGATGACAATTGCGAGTCTTTTTTACTTGGAAAGATAACCAACTCACCCTTCACTGGTACTTTTTAAAGGTGTGAAGGTTTGTTGGGTCTCCTACACACTGATGTGTGTGGACCATTTAGAACCGCCACAAGGGATACTAACTGCTTCTATGTGACTTTTATTGATGATTACAATAGGTATGGCTATATCTACTTAATCAAGCATAAGTCATAAACTTTTGAAAAGTTCAAAGAGTTTAAGAAAGAAATGGAGAATCAATTGGGAAGGAAGATAAAGATGCTACGTGCGATCGTAGAGGAGAGTATCTTAGTATCGAGTTCCTTGATTATCTTAAGGAATGTGGAGTTGTTTCACAATTGACGCCACCTAGGACACTACAACTTAATGGTGTGTCTGAGAGGTGCAATAGAACCTTGCTTGACATGGTTCATTCCATGATGAGTCGAGCTTCGTTACTTATCTCATTCTGGGGGTATGCCTTAGATACTACCACCCATATCCTTAATCTAGTCCCTACCAAAAAGGTTTCCAAAACACCTCACGAGATGTGGACAGGGAAGTTTCCCTCGTTAGACCACATCAAGGTTTGGGTTTGCGAAGCTTTCATTAGACAGGAGACTCACGACAAGCTCGAACCTCGAGGTGAGCGATATATTTTCATCAGCTACCCGCAGAAGTCATTTGGATATCTCTTCTATAGACTGAGTGACAATGTTGTCTTCGTTGCAAGGAGAGCAGTCTTTTTGTGAGAGAGAAATCATATGCCAAGAGGAGAGTGGGAGGAAAATTGACCTTGAAGAGCATCAAGAGTTAAGCGATGAAGGAACCTCAAACACTAGCACTCAACCCGAGGAGGAAACTCCGATGGAGCCAATTGACAAGTCCGTACCTCTGAGGTGCTCCGGTAGAGTTAGTGTTCCACCTGTGTTATATGGATTTCATATAACATCTGAGGGTGACACATTTATCAGTGATAGCACACTGATAAATTTGGATGAACCTAACAACTACAAGGAAGTCATGGCAGGCCCCGAGTCTGCAAAATGGAAAGAGGCTATGGACAGCGAGATTCAGTCCATGAATGACAATCAAGTTTGGAACTTGGTTGACAATGTACTGGGTCATAAGACAGTCGGGTGCAAATGGATCTTCAAGAAGAAGACCGACATGGATGGGAATGTACACACATATAAGGCGCGACTGGTTGCGAAGGGCTTTACTCAAACTCCAGGAGTTGACTATGATGAGACATTCGCACCAATTGTGAAGATTAAATCTATAAGGGTTATGCTAGCCATAGCTGCATTTCATGATTATGAAATATGGAAAATGGATGTCAAAACCACTTTCCTTAATGGAAAGTTGGCTGAAGATGTTTACATGAGTTATCCAGAGGGTTTTGTCAATGCAAAGTACCCTAATAGAGTATGTAAGCTTGAGAAATCCATTATGGATTAAAACAAACATCTCACAGATGGAATCTTTGTTTTGATGAGAAAGTCTAAGAGTTTGGGTTTTCGAGAAGCGAGGATGAGTCCTGTGTATATGTCAAAGCTAGTGGGAGTATAGTCAGCTTTCTGGTATTGTATGTAGATGACATACTAATCATAGGAATGACATCCCAACCTTGCAGGAGGTCAAGTCCTAGCTTGGGAAGTGTTTCACTATGAAGGACCTCGGAGAAGCTGCCTACATCCTAGGGATAAGGATACTAAGAAACATAAGTAAAAGGCTAATAGGACTTAGTCAAAGTACCTACTTGGACAAGGTGTTGAAACGTTTCAGTATGGAGAACTCCAAGAAAGGTGACTTACCTATCCAAGGCAATACTAAACTGAGTAAGACTCAGAGTCCGAGTACAGAGGCTGAGATAGCATAAATGAGTCATATACCATATGCTTCTGCAGTTGGTTCAATCATGTATGTTATGACTTGTAGTCTCCCCAATGTGGCCTTTGCTTTGAGCATGGTCTGCAGATATCAAGGGAACCCTGGTAAGGCTCATTGGACTACGGTTAAGAACATTCTTAAGTACCTATGAAGGACTAAGGATTGGGTCCTTACCCTCGGTGGGAGTGATGACTTGAGAGTAACAGGGTATATCGACGCGAGCTTTCAAACCGACAGAGACAAATTTCGCTCTCAGTCGGGCTCGATTTACCCTGAATGGAGGAGCAGTGACATGGAAAAGTTCCAAGCAAGAGACTGTAACTGATTCAACGTGTGAATCAGAGTACATATCAGCAAGCGAAGTGACGAAGGAGGCGATATGGTTGTAAAACTTCATCGAAGACCTTGGAGTAATTCCATCCTTAAAGAAGCCTGTGGAGATTTTCTACGATAATGAAGGGGCGATTGCCTTAACCAAGGAACCGAGAGATCAGGGAAGTTGAAACACTTTTTCATTGTTAAAAATCTTTTTTTATTTCATCGCATTTAATATTTTTTATTCAACTTATATATATATATATATATATATATATATATATATACATATACATATATATATATATATATATATATATATATATATATATATATATATATATAGGGTTAGGTTTATGTGAGACGGCCTAATTTTGTGAGACCGTGAGACGTATTTTTTTATTTTTAAATTTTTTTTTAGTTAATTCAAGTTCCGAAAATAATATTTAAAAAAAGAATTTTTGGATTTTTCCATTTATTTTGCATTTTAAAATTATTTTTTAGAATATGTCAGTGTAACATTCTATTAGAATATTTCACGTACTTTTCAAAAAAAAATGGAATTTATTTTTATTTTATTTTTATTTTTTTTTAGTTAATTCAAGTTCCGAAAATAATATCTATTTTTTTTTTAGATTTTTCCATTTATTCTGCATTTTAAAATTATTTTTTAGAATATGTCAGTGTAATATTTCACTTATTTTTCAAAAAAAAAAGATTTTTTTTAATTTTTTTTAGTTAATTCAAGTTCCGAAAATAATATTTAAAAAAAGAATTTTTGGATTTTTCCATTTATTTTAAATTTTAAAATTATTTATAGATTTGGTCTCACGGTATCACAAAATTAGATAGGTCTCAAATGAACCTGAACATATATATATATATATATATATATATATATATATATATATATATATATATATATATATATATATATATATATATATATATATATATATATATATATATATATATATATATATAACAGTAAAGTTTCTTGGTCATTTTGTTGAGTTGTTGGTGTCATTTTTAATATATGTACTACGAAAATGTTTAATTCATGAAGATGCAAAAACACATGTTCCCGCATTTAAACGAAAAAAAATACTAGTTTTATGAAATACTAAATATCAATAAAAGATGTATTTGAGTCTACCATGACTTGCTGAAAATATTAGTTCTTTTGACATTGCAATTGATAACAATCTCTCTCTCTCTCTTTTTCTATATATATATATATATATATATATATATATATATATATATATATTACTTATAAATTTATTTATGATTTTTATAATAAATTAAAAAAAATAGGACTATAGCTCATATAATACGTTACTAATCAATGATTTTACAATGGCAACCTTACTGATTTTGAATATTCTTAAAAATAAATATTCACAAACAATGATTGATGTATAATGTAACTGACAAATCTTGTATGATGGTAGTTACTTTAAACCATCCACATGTCTTTCAAAAATTCCTTGCAATGCCACTCAACAAAAATTAAATTTATTTGGACTTTATCTTTCAAATTAATCAAATAATTATATCTAAATATTAAAAACCAATTGGTATATTACATTTTTAATAAAATAATAATATCAATTATGTGTAATGCAAACAATGTACAAGTGACATTTACAACCCAATTGCGAGCTTACCACCTATGTATTAAAAAACTAGGATGCTATAGGAGTCCCAAAAAACGTATTTATCGTGTAATGATAAGGTGTTAGCTTTTTTATTATAAAAATGAAAATCTTCAAAAAAATCATTTTATTTTGGAAGAATTTATATTTTAGTCCCAAAAAACTTTTTGAAAAAAAAACACTCATGGAACCGAATAAATGGAACATGTTGGTCTTTTCCTTCCAGTGACCCTCATTTAACCGGTAACACTTGATGATGTGGCCTTAATTGGCTTATGTGGAATCATCTTAATCTCATTTACAAACCCGAACGTTTACTCTCCCCTCTGTCGTTTCACCCTCTTAATAAAGTAGGGTTTTTACCCTTGAACACGTACGAGCAGGTGAAATCATGGAAGAGATCCATAATTTGGATACCATAGATGTGGAGCTTGATGAATACTTTAAAAGGAAACAAATTTTTCGATGCAAAGATGATTTTCGAAATATTCTTTGTGAAGAAGACAATGACGACGTAAATGATGGTTCTCAACCTAAAAGTAATATTGAAAAATCAGATAAAGAGTATGTGGAAGAAAGTGATGAAGAAAATATTGATCATGATTTCGAGTATTCCACCCACAACCCAAAGGTGAAATGGGACTTAATGAAACCAATGTGTGGTGAAAGGTATGAATCCCAATATAAACTGAAATTGTGTTTAACCAGCTATGATATTAGTATGGGTTATCGAATTCGTTTAAAAAATGTGATAGTGTTATACTAGTGAGAATATGTGACAGTGGTCTAGAGAAGTGCCCATTCGTGGTTAAGGCCTCTTAGATGAGTACTGAAAGTCCATTCCAAGTCAAAAAGACTGTAGATATCCATACACATGTTAGAAATTTTAACAATTCAAGCCTTATGAATCCTACCTGATTAGTAAGGAAATTTGTGAAGGGGTTGATCAGGAAACCTAACTTGAATGCAAGGAGATGCAGGTAATTATACAAAGTAAATGTCATTACCAAATGTCATGGTCAAAATGATATAGAGCAAGGATGAGGGTGTTGCCATTAATTAATGGCAAATTTAGTGACCGCTATGTAAGAGTTTGGGATTATGGACACGAGTTGATGAGATCCAATCCAGACAGTACAATTAGGATTTCTATATTTGTAAACCATGGTAATATTACAACATTTCATAGAATCCACACTTGCTTAAAGCAATAAGAGAGGGGTGGAAAAGGTGATGTCATAGGGTAATTGGGTTGGATGGTTCTTTTTTGAAGGGACAACACAAAGGAGAATCGTTAACTGCAATAGGTAGGGATGCAAACAATCAGGTGTATCTTATAGCTTGGGCAATTTTTGATGTAGAGAACAACAATAACTAGAAATGGTTCATGGATTTGTTTAATGATAACCTTGGATTGTAGGGTGCAAGGGGTGTGTATGTAATCAGTGATCAAAAAAGGTAAAGTAACTATCTTTTTATTTGTGATTGCTTGCTTTTTGTTTACATTCTTTTATGTACTTACTAATTAACCTTTTCATGTGATAACGTCTTCTTGAAGCTAGGATGAATATTCTACCCTATGTTGAGCACATACAATATGCCAGGCATATCTATGCTAATTTTAGAAAAGTTTATAGTGGAGTGGAGTTCAAGAACATGTTTTGGGCAACTACAAAATCTACATGGTGCATGGTTTATGCTTGTGAGGTTGTAGAGATAGGGTTACCAAGTGTTTTAATGCAATCATCATAGATGCTAGAAAGAAACCTATACTGACTATGCTTGAAGAATCCTAAAGGGTAGAAATGTGTCATGTCCTCATCCGGTGACGGAAAGGTCAGGCTGTGCAACTTATTCATGGATCACCATCATTTGGATAGACATAATAATAATATAAATACATAGCGAGGAATATAATTTCTATTAATTATTCAAAAGAAAATTACATTGCGTCTTGTTTTATCATTACATAAAATCCTGAAATATAATGTGTGTGTGTTGAGTATTTGAGATATTGAAACTGATTTGGTATGTTTGGTTATTTAGGGAAGCCTTTTTAGGGTTAATCATTTTGGTGATTCCCTACGGTGCCTTTACAGTAGAAGTTCTTCATCGAGCTCTTCTAAGGCATTGGTTTTATATTTTTAGTAAAAAATTTATGCTCCCTATAAATAATCATTAGGTTAGCTTTTGATGAGAATTTTTTCCTTATTAGGGTTTTCTTTGTACGTTCATATCAAAATCAATATACACAAAACCTTTGACATATTTCTTGCATATTATGGTGATTGATTCATAATTGTTCTCGATATTCCGCATTCGTCATCTCTAATTTATTCTAACAAGTATCAGAGCGGGTTCTTGTAAATCTCAACGACTATTGCAAGAATCGATCTTGTTTATGACGATATTTTATCATGAATCTCACCTTGTTCTTTAAGTTTTTTAAGTTTTCTGAAAAGAAAAGTGAAATACCTCGTTTTATTGCAAAATCTTGTTCAGATCTGTTATCTTCTACTCATTTTTTCATCTAATTTGTTCGTGAATAGTGTTTTGGAAGAGAAACCTAAGAAGAATTATGTGTTTTGTCAAAGTATTTGTGTTCAGATCTACTTTATCTATCTAAAAAATCATCTCAGATATGTTTTCTCTATCTAGAAACCATCTCAGATCCGTTTACTCTCTTTAGAATTCTTATCAGATCTACTTTCTCTCTCTTCAAGTTCTGTCACTTGTTGAAGATCTAATGAATTTTTTATTCTGTAACTCCATTTTAGAACTTGGATTAAAGGTTACTAAACCAATCTATGGTGTCAACAAAGTAACAATGTTTCATATTCTTGGTGAATATGTGTTGAGGGATGTTACTGAGTTATATAATCTTTTTGTTGATAAGAAAAATATCTAAATACTCACGTGTTAGTGACGGTGAATTAAAAAAAGATGATAGAATAGTAGAACAATTTCATATTATCCATAGACATTTAGATCGAGAAAATAAACAACAGATTTTGGAGATGAAAAGAGTTGAAAAGAAAAAGGAAGGTGCTCTTGATGTTCTTGGTGAAGTTCATAATATTCCTCATGTTTTTGAAGAAAAGATGACTCCAAATGTTTTGGTTGAGGGGGAGTCTGTTGGTTTAGTGTCTAAGTCCGTAACTATATTTGGTATGTACTTGACCCGGTTGTGCATGGTCATTTTGGATTGCCTTCACCAAAACAACTTGACAAGGTTATTTAAGAAAGTGAGAGGATATTATGGTTTATTATAATATTATAAGAATAATATATTAAAGGGGAAATCATATTTATTTAATTAGTATTAGTCATCAGTTAATTAGGAATTAATTTGGTGACTAAAAGAGATTAATTAAATAAAAGGGCATAAACTGTCAAATGTGTGATAGTTGATTTTTGGACTAGGAAACCTAATGGACTAAGGGGGAACGAAATTATGATGAAGGATCATCATATTTTCTTCCAAGGGCCTTATTCCAGAAGGTTCCTTGGGCTGCTTGGTGGCTAAGTTGTTCATTAGGGTTTAGACTGAAACCCTAGCTGCATACACTATAAATAGAGGCCCTTTGATGCAGTTTTCAGAGACTTGCTTCTAAGAAAATCCTAGGGCCGATTTCTAGTGTTCCTCCTCCTCTCTCCTGATATCCTTCTTTCTTGTGGTGTTTGTGAACCATTAAAGGAGTTATAATTGTGACTCTAAGCTCAAGATCAAGAAGATTCAAAGGATTCCAAGCAAATTGAAAGAGGTAAACACTTAGATCTCTTCTTATGATGTTAATTTCGAATTATACATGTTAGATCTAGGGTTGTAAGTCTTGGATTCATTGCATGTACAATAGAGAAACCTAGATCCAAGCATTAGGGTTTGTATGAACACATAAGATTGTTCTTATGCATAAAACACATCAGTGGTATCAGAGTTATGTTTGGTTTCTATTGTATTGATGCCTTGTTTATTTGTTCTAGCCTTAAAAATCAGTTTTTTGCTAACTTCCTGATGAACTCGACGGGTAGGTTGAACTCGACGAGTTCCAATGTGGACTCGATGAGTTTAGCTGTCAGACAGAAAGATTTTCAGATTTTCTTGCTGTTTTGCTAAAGGATAATTGTCATATATGTTTTAATCTGATAAAATACGAATTTTATTGTTGTTGAAAGATTATCCTTGCCAAAACACACGATAATTACTAATTGATTAGATAATAATTTCCTTATATGATTAAAATTGATTATTTGAATTAATTGGGTAACTTATCTTGCAAGAAAATGAATTAGGTCAAATATAGATAATCACTAAATTAATTGCTTAATTTATATTATTTATTATTTGATCCTTTGTGTTTTGAAAAGTTCAAAACTTACCCTCAAGTTTTGAAATTTAAACTTTTTGATTAAAAGTTTAATTACTGAAAGTCTTAAATTTTAACCCTTATATTTTTACAAGTTTAAAAATAAACCTTATACTTTATCTATTATAAGATTTATATATACCCCTCAGGGGCGGTAGTCTCCCTCCTCAGGTCGGTCGACGGTAGTCTCCCTAACGGTCGACAGGTAGCACTTCTCCGACTAAAAGAGAGCTTCCAAGCAGGAGAGGAGCGAAAAGCCTCTCGCTTTCAAGTCGAAGGCGGGAGATGAGCGGAAAGTCTTCAAACTCTTCCCACTATATATATATATATATATATATATATATACAAGAATAAAGCTAGTCTTATTGCTAGTAGGCCTCATTCACGAAGTCGGTCTATAAGGTGGGTATAAGGTTGATGCCTATAAAATGACGCTTAATGGGTGTACACTCATACCCACTGCTTGCTTGACTGGTGGAGGGTTGTTAGCCGAATGGATAGGATAGGGCACTTAATACCTCATTATAAGTATAATGAATATTACAAAGTAACTAACATGTGTTGCAAATTCCCAATCTTAGTTACTTTAGGGTAAAATGTGAAAATTATGCTATTCCATGGAATTACACTTTGTACCCTTATCAAACGTTATTGGAGCGTGTGTGGTGAACCGACATACTAATTTGGGATTGACATTGGTGGCAAAGGGTGACTCGATGTTTGTCATAGATCAATGGAGCGTGTGTGGCTAACTGCACATTGATTAGGTGATAGAGACATTGAGGGTACCATGTTGATTCACATGGTTATTCACAACTTGTTTGCGATCCTCGGCATCCCAGTCGCAAATATGAAGTGTATATCGAGATTTAAACATGCCATTGAAAATTTCAATGAATCTCAAAGATCTAGGAGTTTTCAAATACATTTAAAACTTAATATCTTTTTCATTTTTCATGGTGAGAATTAGTGAATCGTCATTCACTTACCTTCAAATTATTTACTTTTAGAGTACGACATCCCTTTCTAAGTTGTAAATAATGTTGTTGGATCCTAGCCCTAATTTCTCATTTGGGTGTTTAATTGGAGATTCAATTCTAATCAAACTTTATTCCTTTATATTTTCAGATGTCTAACGCAAACAACACTGCTCCTGGTCCATTCTCGCTAATGAGCCTATGTCAAAAGGTGACGTTTGATGGATCGAATTTCAACAAATGGATAAGATGCATTCGCATGATTTCTCTTTAAGAGGACAAAGAATGTGTCCTCGACGAGAAGCTTGAAAAAGATCAATCCAGAAGTTGCTAGTCCCGAAGAAATGACCGTCTTTGAGGCCCATGAGCGTGATGCAACGAAAGTTCATTGCATTATGCTGACCACCATGAATCTTGAACTCTAAAAGTCCTATGGCGACATGTATCCATCTGAAATGTATCAAGATTTGTTGGAGAG